TTTGTCTCTCATAGTTGAGGTATACCTATGATGAAAATTACAGGCCTCTCTCATCTTTTTAAGTGGGAGAACTTGCACAATTGGTGGCTGACTAAATACTTTTTTGCCCCACTGTATAAGACATCTTCATTCTTGGTTCAAAATTACTGAATGAAAGAATATTTGATTCTTCTGAAGCATACACCAATGAATATGATAAACTTATCCACTTCTCCAGTAATCCACCCATTAATTGAATAAAAATATTCGTATTCTAGTATGTTGTCCCAAATACCTAACAGAATAAATAAGCATTTATTGACTGATAGGGCTGGGCAAGTCTTCAGATTTAAAGGTGCTTCACACTGCACGGGTATACAAATGTAGCACCTTCTGCAACTCTTTAAACCAAATACATCTTTTCCCAGTTATGTGATTCTAGGAAAAGAAACATCTGCTTTAAGGGCAGTTATGTGATTCTAGGAAAAGACACATCTGCTTTAAGGAGTTGCAGACATATACTAGGTCTGATGCACATTTTTGACTTGGAAAACTCTATTGATTAATTTATTAAACTGCACTTAAAAATGTATTAACAGGAAATGAATAACTAACCTTCACATTGAGAATATAGCCGCATATTTCATTTTTTTAAAAAAATATTACTATCACATGATTCCAAAGATTTAATTAGCATTTAGTTAGCATCCTGGTTGATTAAAACAGAAAGCCAGAACAATGTCAGGAGGAACATGGGCAGATTAGCATATGTGGCATAGGCATACTATTACTCTTGTTATATTATGGTATCTAACGTTGCTATGGTAACATCAGGAAAATATTCTTAGGTTTTTGTTCATTACATCTAATGAGAAGCATCTAACTGATTATGAATGAGTTTAGCAGAAAATTAATAAAAGGAAATTATTTTATCCCAATTCTTTTAAGTTAAAAGACTTTTTTTCCCTAAAATCCACCTCTCTAGAAGCTTATAACAGAAGACTCCAGAAACACAGAATATAAGACAAATAAATCTGATCAGGAAATATATACAATATAGTTCTTCCAAAGTTCATCTACATTTAAATTAACAATTCAGATTCTGTAAGGAACAAGACAAAGTGATCTACTCCTGAAACAGCTATCAGTGTAACCATTAGAATAAGCATGGGTCATAGCTGTGAGATGACACACAAGGCCACTTCTCCCATATACTGCATTACTTAAAATACAGAACAATATTTACCTTTGCTCCATGTTTATGAAGAACTTCCATAACATCATTGTGTGCTCGTTCAGCAGCAACATGCAAAGGAGTCATGAAACTAGATTGGAAAAGAGATAAGATTAACAGCTTTCAAAGCTTGCCTATTCCATCTAAATGCAAATGTTGCAATTTCAAAGAATAAACATACTCCTTGTTTTTTTCATTGACATTGGCTCCTTTCCGAAGCAGTAATTCAGTAACTTGCTTCCGTTTAGGGTGAAGAGAAGACACAGCACAGTGCTGCAAAAGAGACAGCATCGTACATAATGAAAAGATTGTAATACGTCTGTGCAAATTAAGAGTATGGCACTAGGAAAGCATAATTCTATGTGATCTCCCCTATTCTAAGCTGTCTATCTTCTTTCCTCAAACATTAGTGCCACAGGAGCCATGTGAACAAATCTTTCTCAATCACTTCATTAAGTATTCTTGGTTGATTTCAGCATCTCAGGCACTTCTCTTCTCAGGTGGTAGTTCTATGATCCTTCCATTGATATCTACACCAGCAGCAAAACCCAAAAACTGAAATAAGCAAGAGAAAACAACCACCAAAACCCCACATACACCTAGCCAGCAAGTTTCCATCAGTGCTCCAAAGGCATTACGGAGGTATTAGAATGGGTGTAACACTTGCTACCTAGCCTGGTTTTATTTATGTTTTTGCTGGAGGGAAGCTAATGCCTGGTTTTAGATATTCCAACTGAGGAGCCAGATTATCAGGACTTATCTGGGACAGAGAGAATGAGAGGTAAAATATTCATTTCAGCTCCCCTTCCTTTTTCATGCACTGAATCAAAGAACCATTAAAGTATGTGAAGAAATAACCTTTGCTACTAATAATAATGTTATGTTTTTATCCCACTTTTTCTTCAAGATGATTATAGGTCATTTAC